CATCCATCCAAGCAAATACAGAGTATTCTGTTACAATCGTGATGATGCAGACTTTGGGGAGTCACAAGTTGAATTAATCATCATAGAATCTCTTCCCTCAGACCTTCTTTTATAGGCTCAGTATTTGGAATGCAGGTCCAGTTCAGTTTCTCATCAATATTAGCACCCAGCATGATGATAGTGGGGAATTCAGTGAAGATAAACCCATTGAATGTCATTAAATGTTAGGTTCTCATCTGTCAGATTTGTTCATTATTTGTTGGTGCAAATGTTCTTTGTCACATAGCAGGCTAACTTCAATGTTGTCCAGGCATACTGCATTTAGATATTTACTGACTCAGTATCCAAGGAGTCACAAATGGTACTAAGAATTGTGCAATCAGCAGCAAACGTTCCCATTTCTGACCTTACGCCACAGGGAAGACCATTGATGAAACAGCTGAAGGTGGTTGGGACTAGAACCCGATCCTGAGGAACTGCTGCAGCTGAGATGGTTGGCCTCCTATAATCACAAGCATCTCCCTCTGAATTCAGTATTACGCAACCAGGGTGATGTAGGGTAAGAAATATAGGAGAGTGTACAAGGGGAATATAAAAGGAAAGAAGCAGAATATTAAAACACAGAACAATAGGAAATAAGCTTGGACGAGCATTACAGCTTGGGCTAAGAGTCAAATACAACCATATAAGGACATAGTTATTGTCGTTGAGGTAGTTTAACTACATATCGATAACGGTGAACCATCAGCAGTTACTTAAGGTTCAGAGAACAGCTGTACATCTTAAGATACTCGCATATGTATTATTCAGAAGGGAAAGCTTGCATGCTGTGGGCTGATGGTGGGGATATAGAAGCTTTGAAGATAATGTAGAAGTGGAAGCACTGCTGAAATTAGAGGACTCCGAACTTCGTAAGAAACTGAACAACATTCTGTTCATGCAGTAAATAACTGACATATAAATTTATTTTGTACCAATGTTACATGCAACCACTCTAACGTGAAAATGTCTTAATATTCTGTTTTGAGCTGTAAATGGTGGATTGTCTTGAAACTAGACTTAGATACCTCTTCTGCACGTATGTGGTACAAGTTTGAATAAATTCACCTTGTTTTGATCTACTCAGGTCCGAAGATGCAATCTTTTCAAATACCTGCCTTTAAAGGGAGAATAATATTCTGATTCCTGTTGATCCTAGTTTTGCTATGATTCCTTGATACAATGCTCTGTCGAATGGAGCCTTAAGATAGCAGATAGTCATTCCCATATTTGGAATTCAGCTGTTTGGTCCGTGTTTGCAGCAAGAATGTAAAGAGATCAGGAACTGAGTGGCCCTTGCTTAACTCAAACTGAGATCCATGACCACGATGTTACAAAACAAAGCATGATGTCATCGTTGTCACCCTGTTCTGACTGCATTTATGTCTCGAAAGTCCAGAAGATTGGGTGAAGGTTTTTCCCACACAGTCCACTTGTATGGTTTCTCTTCACTGTGAATGATGATGTTTTCTTCCATGTTCAAAGCTCCTGAGAATTGAGTTTTATTGGCAGCTCTTCATCCAGTGTTTGACTTGAGCTGCCTGTCTGTAAATTCTCCCTTTTGAATTCCTGGAAAATAAATTTAAAACAGTCAAAAGTGGAATGAAAGCTGCTGGATTATCAAAAAACCCACCTGGATCAGTAATGTCCTTGATAGGACAGAAGCTGAAAAATACAGGTCAAATCAGGCTGCGGAAACTGGCTACACAGCCAGTCATTATTTGTGCAGAGCCAGCAGAGTGGAAGGTTTGAGTGATACCGCAACAATGCTGTCGGTGTAACAATACAAACTGCACAAATATTTGACCATAACTTGTGTCAGTCTGTAATTGGATAAATGTAACTGACCTAAGCTTGCTGAAAAAGCATTACTGTAAGCAGGTGGGAATTCGTGGGCCACCTTCAGATACATGCAGTCCCCCTTTTACTGGTGAGACTTGCTTCTGGAATAGTGTTCAGTACTGGTCACTGTACTTATAGAAAGTTGTTAATATGTTGGAAGCATTTCAAAGAAGATTTAATGGACGAATACCTTGAACGAGTGGATTGCCTTATGAGGAAAGGCTAGACAGGTTAGGCCTGTGTCCTTTCAAGTTTAGAAAAGAAAGAGGAGACTAAATTTAAACCTAAAAGATCCTGAGGGGACCTGAACAGGTCAATGTTGAAAACATGATCCCCCTTGTGGAAGAATCTCAAACTGAGGGTCATTGTTTAAAGCTGGGGGTGAGTCCATTTGAAATGGTGAAGAACATTTACTTTCTCTCAGAGGGCTGAGAATCTTTGTAATTCCCTTCATCAAAAGGCAGTGGATGTAGAATCTTTAAATTCATTTTAATGCAGAGGCAGACAGATACTGATGACCAAGATGATGAAATGTTCAGGGATATGCAGGCACATGGAACAGAGTTTGAAATCATATCGGCTGTGACCTTATTAAGTCGCAGAGTAGGCTCGAAGGGCTACGTGGCCTACTCTTGTTCCTCATTCGTATGTTCGAATAAACTGGAGGATAAAGAAACTCAAGTCTTGTCTGATTACTGCAGGCAAGGAGGGTGTTTGAGCTCTCACTTCACCCACACGTGGATCAGTTACTTTCTATCACCCCAACCAGCTTCAATTAACATCTGGAAAATTTTAATCAAATCAGCCCTCATCCTTCTGAGTTCCAGGGAATGCACCATTCCTGCTGAGATGCATTTTGATAGAAAGAGTAGAGAACATAGAAAATAGGAGTCAGAGTAGTTAATTCTGCCCAGTGAGCCTCAAAAAGGTCAAAGCTGATCTATTTAGGCTTCAATTCCACATCCCCAGTTGGCCTCGATAATGCTTTTCTTAAATTTCTGTGGGCTTTGCTGAGCCGAGTTGCCATTGAGAAGATAGTAGTGATCTGCCTTTGTGAACCATTACGGTCCGTGAGGTGGACCCACAATGCTGTTAGGGAGGGAATTCAGGATTTTGGCCCAGTAACTCTCAAGGAATAGCGATACTTTTCTAAGTCAGGATGGAGAGTGGCGTGGATGGAATTCATGCCCAACAGAGAGTCTCAGAGACCTCACAGACAAAAGTTCTGCTGACTCTGTCTGATCTTGTCACTATCTTCCAAGTATTCTGTTATCCCAACTTTTACAGTGGACCCGAACACTTTTTCCCACCAATGCTTTGAAAATGCCCTATTTTCGCTCTGATTCCCTTCTTAAATACTTGGGCAACATTAAGTACCCTCCAATCCATAGGAACTCAGAGAATCAATAGAATTTGAGGATAACCACAAGTGCATCTGCCATTTCTAGGGCCACTTCCTAAGTTACTCTGAGACAAAGGTTATCAATCTCTGGGGATTTGTCTGCCGGTTGTCCCATGAGCTTTCCCAATATCATTTTCCTACTAATAGTAATTTCTTTCAACTCTACCTCCCTGTTAGATCCTGGGAACCCCTTAATTTTGGGTCATTATTTGTGGCCTCCTTTTTGAAAATCTAAGACATACATAATTGGTCTGCCATCATTTTGTCCCCCATTATAATTTCCATGTTTCTGATTGTAAGGAGACCAATATTTCTTCTTGACGAATCTTTTGCTATCAATGTTCACTTAAGAGTTTAATGATGATCAGGAAACTGTTTTTGATTGTCAGGAAAAACCCATCTGGCTCACGAATATCCTTCAGGGGAAGAAACTGTCATCCTTACTCGGTCTGGCCTATAAGTGACTCCAGTCCCACAGCAATGCAGTTAACTCTTGACAGCCCTCTGGACAATCAGGGGTGGGCAATAAATTCTGGCTTAGCCAGCGATGCCCACATCCTGTGAATGAATAAAGAAAAATGCTATTGGTTTGTATGGTCCCAGCAAGAGCACTCTCATATTCTATTTTCTCCCTCTTATTAAATCCCTTTGTCTCCCTTTGCTGAAATCTAAACTTCTCCCAATCCTCAGGTCTGTTATTTTGTTTACCTAATTTGAATCCTGTTTCCTTAAATTTAATACCCATTCATTTCCCTTTCTCTGCCATGGTTTGACCATGTTTCCCATTTTGTTCTTATGCCAGACTGAGATGAATAACTTTCATAGCTTGTCCACTTCCTCTTCAAATGTTTGCCATTATCCATCTCCCATCATCCATTGAAATACTGATCCACAATTTATCACAAGCAGCTCATGCATCATACCAGTATAACTTCTTTCATTTAATTACAGGACCCGAGAGTCGGAAACAATATCACTCTCTATCTTTATGAAGAATTCAATCTATTGTGGTCACTTTTACTTAAGGGCCCACACTGAACTTGATTATCAATTATTCTTTTCTCATTGCCCAACACCCATCTGCTTGTTCACCAAGGATAGCCCTGTAAAGATGAAAGAGGTCATGTTTGTATTGAACCTCAGGAGATGAGGGAGACATCAAAGGAATATTTTGTGTCAGTTATGACTGTGGAGAAAGAAATGGAGGCTAAAGATCTCAGGGAAAGAAATATTGTATTTTGAAAACAAGTTCACAGGAGCCACAGAAGACTGGCGGGAT